AACTCTGGGACACACACAAAAGAGGCGCATTAAATCACGGCAACAAAATTAAACGCAAACAATGGTTCATGCAAATAGGCGTGCTGAAAGCTAAGAATCCAGCAGCAGCAACAAAACGCAAACATATTGCGACAATGAAAATTGATGCCAGCAACATAAATAACAACAAGAACAACATGGGCATTCATTTAGTCGTCAGTCAAAGTTCAAAGCATACGGAAAAGGTGTCGCGTTTGAATTAATTAATAACAGCAGCGATAATGGCAAACCTATGGCACACTTATAGGCAACCGCTGAGTGAGAGAGAAAGAGAGGGATAGAGCGTGAAAAAGTGTGAGAGGGAGAGCAGCAATGAAATCTATCAGACGTTTAGCAGACACCAAGTCTAACAGTTGCCGATTATGCAAATGACGGCCGCCTGCATTAATCGATAGTCAGCTAATCGATCATCGATCAGTGTTGCGCACCAATTCTTCGACTGGCAACCAAATTCGCGCTTGATTTCTACGTTGAGGATTTATTTTGAAAAGTGTTTGGCCATGCAAATGAGCTAAGGTAAAAGAAATTTGAGATTCAAGCGATTTGTTGCAGCTGCCGTTTTTCTCAAGAGATACAGCTAAAAAAAAAAACAAGAAACAGTTATTGTTGTCGCGCTTTGTTTTGCTCAATTTGCTTAATTCTACGAATTTCGAAACAAAATCGACAACAACAACTAAAAATACATTTGATTTTCTTAAATATGTATGTGTGACGTATAATTTATGCTGAAAGAAGCGGCACGGTGCCTGGCACGAAACACCGATCTCCAAACCAGCGTGGAAACAATCAAAAATGCCAAAAAGTAAAAAAAAAAGAATTAAATGAGAAGCAAAAATCATTTCAAAACTAGCCGGAGAAACACTAAGCGAGTCGAGTGAGTGGCGCGTCTGTGTCGATAACACATTATCAGACGACAGAGCCCACCAAAAACAAAACATAAAACCTGATACAAAACCAATCGTATCCCATAGTATATTGGAGTAGATCGGTGTCGTCGCCACTTGACAGCCAAATCATCAATTGAATGGCTTAAAACTGATTAGAATGGCGACCAAGCGGCAAACTAGTTCTATTGGAATATTACCCAACACTCAAGTGCCTTGTGTGCCTGTGTGTGTGTGTGTGTGTCAATTGAAATTGTTGTGAGCTCCAAGCTGAGAGTTCGCACAGATCCGGTAGCAGTTAAGACCCCCATAAACGATTCCAATAGATCAGTCGCAACAGCTATGCGACAGCTTATTGGCCTACTTGGAGACAAATTAGCATAAGCGAACGCTATTCATAACTCAGCTGATTGATCGATAGCTCGGGATTAGGAGTAAAAAAAATTCCAGCATTTAAGACCAATTAAAAATAGCGTCAACCAGGAACAAAAAAAAACAACTACAACAAATTCGCGCTTAAACGGATCTCCGGCTAAAAAAAACCCTCAATAGACCCAAAAGTTCATTTACCCATTTGAACGACTTTTGCGCGAAACCGGACGCCCCGTTGGCAATTGGTTATCATTGTTGAAGATCGTTTTGTATTCTGCTATTCTTCAACTAAGTTGACAATTTCCGAGCCGTCTTCCAAATCGAGATATTACTTTCGAGACATGACTTATGTAAAGAATACAACTTAACGAACTACCTTTATGATCGCCATAAAGGTACGATCGTAAAGGCCGTTTCATTTTCCTATTATCTTGCCCGTTTTAGCGTAATTAGCTGGAAAAACCCACAAAAGATTTAACAACAACTGACGTCATTTAGAATTTACGCATAGCATTTCCGTTTGCCAGATGACTCAGCTGTGGTATGCGCATACTTTTCAGCATCATTGATCGCCGTTTAGCTCGTGTTCAGTTGTTAAGTTGCCCCTAGGCAAATTTTCTTTAAAGCGCTAATATCCGAAATTAGCTACGACAAATGCTGTTATACAGCGAACTACTTGCTTAAGGGTATAGATGACATTGTCTTTCCGTTTGTAACGGATTGAAAATCGATTACTTTTTAAGTCTACAATTTATCGATATTACACTGTCTATCCGCTTGTAACACATAAAATCGATAGCTATTTGTCGGAAATCGGAAATTTATCGATTGAGAGCGGCGCTTGTTGCCTTCTGGCACTTGCGCGTGCTGCGTGCGAGGTGGATGGTCTATTATTTAGGTCTTCATCTATACTTTAAGCGAATTTCTCATTGGCAGCTAGCTCTTCCTTCATGTCCATATGGCTAGCCACTTCGTCACAGTGGGCCGCGAGCCGGGTTTGGCTGCCATTTTTGGCTTCGGTGGTGCTCGTCTTTTTATTCTAGGGAGGTATTTTATAGTTGGAAGAATTTCTCGATCGCTTTTTATCGTTGGATTAAGGAACTCACAGAGAATCTCCCATTTATTTTTTATTATAGAGATTTAATATTGGCCCCGTTTCACTTTGTTGTGCTTGGAAACAAGTTATCGATAGCATTCATATCAATACAGACGAAAGTGCTTAAGAGAAGAATTTATCGATCTTTTTTAACGTTTGATTAAGGAACTCTCAGGGAATATCCTATTTATTTTATATCATAGAGATATTTAATATTGGCCCTTTTACATTATTGTGCTTGGAAGAGGTTATCGATCGATATTTAAGAAACATATGCAAGTTATCGATAGCATTCATATCAATAAAAAATTATGCATCGGTCATCGAATCAGTAAAGAGTTAATCGAAAAGTCATCGATATCGCAACATTTATACTTGGTATGTTTATGGCTTTAGGAAGAGGAAAGAAAAGGTAGCTTCTTTATGTTTTAATGAGGCACGTGAATACTAAATTACACCAAATAAAGAGTATACAAATTTGGAGCCAATGAATTGGTATGAATTTAATATTTGTTGTTTTTGCTTTGACGCATTCTGTGCGTTGGACTATTGAAAAACAAGCATGTTGTGACGCACATCAATGGTCGCATTGTTTAGTGGGGGTTTCCCTGTCAAATTGTTAACCAAAAAATGGTCACCAAAAAGGCAGCCATTAAACGATGGCAGCCAAACGAGCGTTTCATGCAAGCTGATTCGAAAATGCCAGCTCGCATAACACTCGCAGCACTCTGCCGGGCAATCTATGGCCATAAAATGTCTACTCTTCTTCTCTTTTTTTTTGCATGCTTAATTATATGCAAAAGCAATAAAAAAAAAAACAGCAACAACAACAAATGTCGGCTGTTTGTTTTGGCTCAGCGAGCAGCGAAGACGCCGCAGCCACAACGAACGCTTGGTGAATGTTGTTGATTTAAGATATTGGCTCTGGGGCTGTGGATTGCTTTGAATTGGATTGGATTTTGTTGTTCTCGGCGATGTGTAGCTAGTGTAGCTGCCAGCTCAAGCGGCTCAGCTCTTAACTCTTAACTCAATTCAATTCATCTCATCTCGTCTCAATTCCATTTGGCTAAAGTGCTTGATGGATTTGTTGATGCTCTGCTCGACTGTAACTGTAACTGGCGGTGTCAGCTAAATCTTTGTCAACTCAGCTGATTAAAACGCACAAATACAAATATGTATAGCTGTAGAGACAGGCATGTGGGGACCACCACTCACTTGTCTCACTTAAAAGGTGATAACAAGCTGCTTGATCGAGGGGCATATAAACACGTTGCAAATGGATACAAATTAATGATTGTTGTTTGTTGTTCTTCTCCTGTTGTCGCAGCTCGCAGCTCGCAGCTAAGCAAACAAAATGTGTAACAATTTATTTGCCATAACAATTGGCACAGTGCGACAAAGTCGACAAAATGTTTATAAAAAATTACTGATCCATTAATTGGTTAATGATCTCATGTAGAAATTCTGATGCAAGCCAAATGACGTGCTGGCAGCTTAGTTTGTGCCTTTAGTTAAATATTTTCGCCACAAATTGCAAGCAAATGTTTTCATTATTCATTAATAGAACTGCTGCAATCTGGGCACAGTACATCATTTCTATCCTCAATCAATCTTCTCAGCTTTTGTTTGATGTCGACGCATGTTTTATCGTTTTTGTGCAGATCTGTGACGCTAAATGCTGATATTAGTATGCCAAATAGCTATATCAATGTTCAATAAATACGCTTAAGCCATGTTTGGCGAATCCCAAAAAAAAAAAACACCAACTGATTTAATGATCTATCGTCAATTTTTTTTGGTTTTTTTTCTTTTTACGAGAAACTGTGCCAATCAGTCGGCCAACAAGAAAAGGGCGTGTTATGCAGCCTTAACAATTATAAAAGCAAAAAAAAATGTATATATAATATTTAATCTTTAAACAACAACAAACAACTCTTCTTCTTCGGCTCTTTTGGAGCCGGATCTGGAAAACGCGCAAACAAGACGCCCACGCTCTGAGCGCCCTTCAGCCCATGTATTGTTGCGCCGTGGGAAGCGTGTCCAAATAAAAAAAGAAGCAATTAACCAACAGCCCATAATACACACACACACACACACACTCAATTGAATTGCAGCTCAATTTGCCAATGTACATGCCCCCGGGCTGCAGAGACTTGCCTCAGCTTCAACGAGATGTCGTCTATTTATAGAGAACTCGGCTGCCAAACGAAAGTAGACGAGGCGAAGAGCAGAAGAAGAAGAACAACATCAAAGTGACAACGCGGCAAATATATGAAATCCAAGCCGGGGGGTTGCCTGCCCACGCCACAAGCGGCAATTGATCAGAGAATGTTTCGGGCGTAAATATAGCACAATCAAAGTCTGTTATGGCATGCAAAATCCGGCAAGAAAGTCGTTGCGAGAACAACAGCAAAAAGTTTGCGCATCGAAGCAAACAACCTGTCGACAGATTTAGCGTGAACGTTAACGTCAGCGTTAACGTCAACTTCAACGTCAGCAGCAGCAGCAGCAGCAGCGACGCTCAGGCAGCAGGCACAGCAGCCGTTGCTCTGGGCTGTTGGCTGGTCGGCGCGCGCCGTTTGCTTCAGTTTGATTCTTGACGCCGTTTAGATCGGTTCTGTTTTTGGCGCGTGCTGAAAAAATTGAAAGCAAATAACATAACGTAACAGCAACAAGAAGCAGAACTGCAGACGTCAAAGTCGCTGCCAATAAAAGATATATAAAATAAATAGGAAGCATTTGGCAAAACGGTTCAAAACAGCGACTGCTGCAAATTGTCACAGTTCGAGTGTTTTGTGCCCAGGCCCAGCTAAAATATATACATAAAACCCAAGACTGACAACTGGCCTAGATAAAACCTATATATTGTGATATTATCAATAAGTAAATAGTGTGTGTGATAAATACTTAGATAAGCCAAGAACAGTTGCCAAATATAATAAAAAAATTATACAGAAAAAAAACGTAAGTAAAAACAGAAATTACAAAGCTTGCCGTTCAGCTGGGAAACTGGCCGAACAAGTTAAATAAATAAAAAACGTATACAAAAATTTTTGAGCGCTGATAAGACTTCCGCATGCTTAAAATATTGTTTACACAATATGCTTAAATACAATGAATAAATGAAGCCCAACGCAAGCTGCCAATAAATGTGCACGCAAACAAAAGACTTAGGCAACGAACTTGACAATTGTGTGTGTTTGTGCGTGCGTGCAACAAATTTAGAATTAATTGCAACAATTAAAACAGCTAAGATAGCAACAAATTGTCATTTGCATTTCCAAATGGCCAATAAAATGAGAAAGGCAAAATATCAAACCGAACCAGAGAGGAGTCCCATTAATAACAATAACAATAACAATAACAACAATAACAATAACAAACTAGCTGAATAAATAATAGAATAAAACGAATTTGCCTTTTTAAACCGTGCCAGGCAAATATCAGACCATAAATATCAAACGGGTTGCCAACAGACTCGAAAGTTCACTTTTTATGTTCAAACCCAAATGAGAAAAAAGTCAAATATAATCAAATAAGAAAAAAGTCTTAGACAGACTCAAGTCGAGGGTTCGAACTGGGTTCGAACTGGCCTTAAATGTGACTGCAGAAAATGGCATTTGATAATTAACGAAAAGGGCATTATAAAAAATTTTAAAAAAATATTGCATAAGAAATGAGTTGCAGTAAGAGCAAAAGAAAGTTGAAATATAAAATTCGATTAAAAGAGCAGATTATCTAGGAGCTAGGATCAAGGATCTAGATTATCTCTTTATATACTTAAACAAGAGTTTGAACTTTTAGATAAACATATTTGACAAAAATGTAATATAAAACTATAGTTCACATACTATAAAAGAACATATAAATATGATGCACAAATCAAGTATCTATCATCATAGTACCCAACATAACAAAAGATCAATCATATTTATAAATGACGAAGTATAGATTATATTAGATCTATAATGTTATTTTAAGCATAGCTTAAACGAAATACCATAAAGTAGAACGGGCTACATTTATAATCTATCCCAACTAACCCAACCCGTATTTTCTATATTTGTCTATCAATTCTTGTTGCTTTTGCACTGATTCCTTCTTGATCTTTATATTGGATTTCTCATCTGAAAGTTAATGCCAACTTATTAACCTGTATTATTCCCCCCGCCCTTTGCAGATGCAGGACTATTGGCACATACCACGCGCCTCGCTTGTCTCCTCTAGCAGCTCGGCCATCAGCTCGGCGAGCTCATCAAAATCATCGAATAAATCGAATTCAAATCCCCCAACGCTGGCGCAGCGCAGCAACGTTTCGGCCAATTCGAATGCGACCAGCGCGGCGGTAACCGCAGCTGCTGCGGCGGCTGTGCTGGCGGCTGCCAAGCGTGGATCACGCTCCTCGCAGGGCTCCAGCGACAGCAACAACAGCACACGGGTGAGTAACAAGACGCGACGCCTACATTGAATAATACTTGACTGACTCATCTCCATCTCTTTTCAGAGCGCCGCTTCCGGCTCACTGCTGCTGACGGCAGCGAATCTGGAACGCTTCGCGGAGATACACAAGAAACAGGAGCGTCAGCACAAGATGCTGCTGTCGGAGCAGCTGCCCAGCGTGCATGGCCATAGCTCCTCGTCGGCCAATTATAATGCCAATCTGGCATTGGCCAGCCACGACAAGGACGCGGTAATACCCATCGATGCTGATCCCAATCTACAGTACGTACGCACCAAAGACCTGGACACCGTGTCCATAGCCAGCTCGATGCACTTCACCATGGTCAATGGCGAGCCCGGCGGCGCCAAGAAGCCCAAGCGTGGCCTCTGCGATCGCGGACGCCAGGTGACGGTGCTGATTGTCAGCATGAGCACCATCTTCATGCTGCTCATCATGGGCATGGTCTACGCACTGGAGAGTAAGTATTGCCTATAGATGCTCACAATTCTCATAATCTCTAACATTCTCTCTGGTTTCTCTTTCTTTGCAGTGCGTGCCCGCGACATGCCCAAGAGCTAACGCAATTGCGTGCGGCGTTTCGGGTGGGCGCAACCCTTTTCTGTGGCTTCTTAGTTTATTATTTATTTGATTTCCGTGTCAATTATTGTTATGTGCGTCGTCATCGTCTTTTGTGCTAGTTGTTTAAGTTATTTATTATACAAAAAAAATTAGAAAAAGAACAATAATTGTTTTGAGAGCGAAATTTTTGTATGGCCCGCGTCATACTAGTATTAAGCGAATTACATCTAATTAGCCTTAAATTAATGGTTAAATGTATCACAGCAAAGCCCTGGACAATCAACGATACTGAAGTGAATGCCGTAGTTAAAGCAAACAAAAAAAAAAAAATATATATATATATATATACACATATATGTATGTATATGTATAGCAGAAAATATGATATATGTATTCAGAGACAAGCGAATGTATTCTTTCTGTTAAACAATTAAGTTATTTAGCCCTGTGATATGTCAAATAAACAGAATTAAAATTGTATGCAAATTGTAAGCAAAACGATGGAAATTCTTTTGGTTAATGACTCATCATCCCACTAGAGAGTTCAATAACTGAGCTGATGACCAGACACACGGCAATCAACACCTGCCCAGACGCACGTCACGTTGCCCTAGCAACAATATAAACTAAAGCCTTGACAACAGTTTGGGACCAAAAACAACAACATAAGGAAAAGGTCCACCCTAAACAAAATTTAAGAAAAATGTTCTTTATCCATTTATCATCAATCGCTTCTTACCATATTCTCACCAATCTCACTATTATCTGATATTCTATATCTCTCTGATATTCATATCTCTCTTTAACATTAATTAAATTCTACAAAAAGACATTTTAAATCATGTCGATGTATTCATTAAGTAAATATAAGGTAAAAATTCATCGCGTATCATGAAAAATGAGCATTTTTAAGCATATAAATATTTTGATTAAAGTTACAACTTTACAGATTATATAAAAATAATTGAGAAACTTGTGCGGTTAATTGAGACCCTTAAGATTTCAAGGGTACAGACAAAAACTTAAAGTTTTCTGTGCTATTTCTAACGACAGCTCCTAAAGCCAACTACTAAAATATTACTTGAAACTCAACCAAAAGAATTTCTAGTATTAATTCATTTTAAATATATATAATACTTATATTTAAGACTCGAGACTCACCTCCACCTCCTGCAGCGTCTGTGTCCACATGTATTTGTCCAGGGTGCAGCCGTTGCCCGCATTTGGCTTCAACTTGCCAATTTCATCCTTTTCGGTCTCATCCTCGACCTTTTCAATGGGCTTGGAAATGTCTTCATTGGCAGCTGTGACACTCGCAGAGTCCCCGCCGGCGCCGTCCAGCAGCAGCTGTCGTTTTCTAACAAAGACAAAGTCAGAGGTTACTTAAATTTCTTTTGTTCATATATCGTAGGTAACGCACTTGTCCTCCTCCTCTTTAATGATGGCAGCGGCCTCCTCGTCGCTTATATCACATATCTTGTTGTCATCCATTTCCTTTTGGCGTGCCTCGCGCTCGGCACGCTCCTTCTCATCCTTCAAACGCTGTGCTGCTTGGCGTACTTTGACTTTCTCCTCATGGGCGGCCATGGCCAGCTGGGACTCCTTGCGGAACACGTCCAGCAGCAGTTTCTCCCACTCGGCCTGTTTGGCACCTGTATAAAAATCGGTTTTGCGACGCAAGAAGCTGGCCAATGTGTGCAGAAACTAAAAAAAGCATGGAAAAAACGTGGGTTTAGACTCGATTGATGTTGTTGTTGCTGGAAGGTACAAAGCATATGGCAGGGGAGTTATAAATATTCCAAATAAAACGCAAGCGCGCTTTCTAAATGTTATGCTATATACGCATTTGGAAAACAAGGGATTCGTAGCCAGTGCCATGTTCCTTTGTCCCATGCTTTCGGTTCAGGCAGATACTTACGTCGGGCACGCCGCCACGATGCTTCTCGGCCACGGCCAGCAATACGTTGTCGAACTGCGCTTCGTCGGCGGACATTGTTTTTATATAAATAACAAACTCCCGTTTCTGTAAATCTCCTTTATTTTTGTTAGCTTTCTGGAAATTTCCGAGTTGAATTCTGTTCTGAGTTGACTTGTGTGCCGGTGACTGATAGTGTGACCAGCTTGACAATACGCAAAAAATAACTTTTACTCGATAGCAAGTTGCACAACCATTAAGATAGTCATTGCTAAATAATTTATGGTTTTATTTGCAAAATTATTATAGCATTACAATTCAAGACAGCGTAACTTTTTATTTCACTATAAACAAAAACTTATCAAGTACTTTTATTTTAGCCAGTGCTACCATAAAGCTCTCTTTTATTATTCATCGATAATTCCATACGATACTTGCCGATAGTTTGGCTTATCAATCAGCTTTTAATAAGGCATCCGTAACAGTGTAACCGACTTTTGGGAGAAAAATGTAATAGCATAAGCTTGGGCCAAATTAGGCTTTGCTTTATTTATATTTAAATTTATACCTTTTTATTAAAACATTCTTTTAGGCACTTGACCTTTGGAATGGAATACAAAGCGCCGCTTAAAGTTTTATGCCTATTGCGTCGATGGGCTCTGTTTATACGCAACATCTGCTAGGCATAAAAGCTCTCAGTTCAATTTCTCGCTCTGTCGCTTTGGTGCTTGTCGCTCTTTGCAACGTATGAAAATGCGACTTTCGTCCTAGGCGCTCGTTCATTCTCATTCGGTCTCTTGAAGGAATCAGTCGCATTCTGAATCCATCGGACGTTGAAAAAATAAACTAAATCGAAGTGATAAAAGCAAACGGATATACTGAAAAAGTTTTTCATTGTGTGGTTAATGTGAAAACAGTTTAACTGCAGCAACCAACGGAAAGTGTGTGACGGAAAAGTAATGCAATACATGTTTAGTTTAATTAAAAACAAAAGTGAATTTGAATAACTTGCTGATTATTAACAAAATATTGTGCATTAAGGTTGCGATACCCGCATAATGATTACCTACACTCTTCCAATTGGGAGTTTGCGGTTGCAAAAATCGATAAATTTCACATAGACGCGCATACACACACTTGCGTATAAATATTTATACAAGTTGGAGCGAAAAGAAGTAAATTAGGGATAGCAAAATGAAGTAGGCGCGATAGCAGTTACAGCTGACAGTTTCGTGTATACATTTAGAAACTCTTTACTGGATTGTGTGGATTTAGCATTAAGTAGGAAGCTATTAATAGATTCTCCTGCACTTTGTGCCCATTATGGGATTTGAAGTGATTACTTAATGGTTCTCTATTTATGGCCGGCGCTGTGATAGCACAAGCAAAGCTTTCCCTTTACCCGTCCTGCCGCAAGTCCACCTCCCTTGTCGTTGGCTAACTGAAGTTGAGTGTTCTATCTGTGTAAGCGCGCGTGTGTGTGTATGCTCGTTCAGCTTCTGTATGTATTTGACAATGTTTATGCTGCTCCACCCCTTCCTCTGTTGCCTGCTTATTCGCAGCGTTCTACGCTTCGCTTGACTATTATTTTATATTTTTCTCTTTCTGCTTTCTTGGATTCTTTGCACGCGACGACGACGCCGACGATAACTACAGCTTGTTTCGCTATCTTGCCATGTGCGCGCCAAAGCTGTTCCAGAGCAGACAGCCAGCCTGCTCTACTGCTCCGCTTCAAGGTCAGTGTAAGGTTAGCTCTGCAATTGCGACGCGCAGGCCATGGCAGTGATTTTGCTGCTGCTCTGTGCGTTGGTCGTTGTCAATGTTTTTCCTTGTGTTGTTGTTATTTTAAGCATCAATTGGGGCGCTGGCACTTCATGTGTTGCCCAGCAACCATAATGGGCACGTAAACGATACAGTGTGTACATATCTACTTACTTATATACATACATAAGCGCATACACATACATATTTGTTTTCTTGCGTATCCTTCGTCAAGCGTTTTGACATTCCTCTGTGTGCGCCTTCTCAATTTAATTTGTTTTTCATGTCTCAGCAGCCTCCCACAGCGTCGATGCCGACTGCGGCTGCGACGGCGGCTTATGTACGTGACGTAGGCGTCAAAAATTCGCTTTTGTGCAACGGTTTGTGTGTGTTATTTGTGTTGGGGGTGTGTAAAAGCTCTGCTAATACCTTTCTTCGTCACTAGTTCAATCTGCCCTTTGACATTTATCTTTTGTATAAACAACAGCACGTACATATCACAAATACATTTAGAATTTCATGTACATACATACCACCTCTCTCTCTCTCTCTTTCACTGTCGCTCGCTCACTGCCTAATTGCGCTGTAGCCGTTTTCGCAGCATCTCGCTCTTCCCAGCGGTTTGCTCTCTTTACGTAAGCTTACATAATCAGCTGCAGACGAAGCTCGTTTTATTTTTATAGTTCTTTTCGCGCTAGCAAAGGATTTCAAGTGCACTTCAATTGAAAGGATAACAATGTTGTCTTTGTTGTGCAGCTATTTTCAGGGCGTGTGTGCTTGAGTGTGTTGCCTGTTAATGGCAATAGCATAAATGCCGTTTAAAAGCTTCTTTTCCGAGCGACTTGAGAAAATGAACTAATGGGTACTTCACAGCGCATATCCTTTTCTAATTTTCTTAATGCTTAAACCGGTTAAAGGTCGATCCCGTTATAGTGTATAGAACAGAAGGATCAGCTCTTTTTGGATCCATGTAAATATAATCATATGCGAAACATATGAAAATGCTTTATAAAAAACAATATTGTTTAGTTAGACCTATTCCTATTTTCCAAAGAATTCCAATATCCAGGTTTTAATTGCAGTTACAGGTGTTACGGTCGCACCAGCTGCTGCCCTTCAAAGGCAATTTTATTTCTATTCCAATTACTCGTGCGAGTATTCATTCCACTAACAAGTGTTGATTGGCTGGCGAATTGAGACAGAAATTGGATACGTTTTGTGGTTGGGCGACGGACGCCAAAGTCACCGCAGGCAGCTCGGTGAACGGTTCAGTGATTTTTCCAGCGGAAAACGTGATAAAATGCTGCCCCAATTGCGTCGCAAATGAAGCATCTGCTTGAAGTATGCCAAGTAGCCGCAGCAAAATAGCAACAAATACTTATGATAACAAATTATTATTATTATGTACAATTGTTTCTATTATTGTTGTTTTTGATTGAGGTGCATTTGTTGATGCCAATTTCCTTAATTGACACTTACGCTGCACTTAATGCCCTTTGATTTATATGGCATTATGTTTTTCTTGCGGCCTGACCAAGGCGCTGCCGGACTGATATTGTATAACAATGGACGGAGCGGAGCGCCTGATCGATTCGCTGTTGCTAGGATTACAGCGACCCACTGATAAGCGCTACCACGCTTCGGACTCTTCCAATTGCATGCTAGGAAATCGAATCACGTGACGTAAGCGGGCGAGTCACTGAAGTGGCCCCGCGACCGCACCCACTTCCCTCACCCTACACCCTTCAATTCAAAGATATGGGCGAGTCGCTACGATAAAAAGGGCTCTGAATACCCCAGCTGAAGGCTGGACAATTGATGATACCACATCGAGAGCCGCCTTGGAATGCAAATGGGCCAACTGGAAAACTGCGATGTTTGTTTATTGACCGTCCAATGCAGTTGCCATTGCCTAATTGGCGGTCGCAGCGGTCCGAGGAGACGCCGCACCTTGGCCAGAGCGTCTATAAATAGACACTGCACGATATATACTATCTGGACAAACACACGATGCGAGTGGGCTTCATTGAACAGACATACACTGAAAGAAATTTCTTAGAAATATGATTTAAGAAAATGATCTATAAAGCAACCGGAATAGTCGATACCTAACCAAGGTTAGCTTTTGAACGGATCAGACATCGGTCTTAACTCTTTCACACTTTATAATAGAACGCGAATAGATCGTGCCGGGTCCGACTTGCTATTAGCACAGCACTAAATATATGAAGCTCTCTCTATATGCAAGAGATATATATATATATTTACTACTTTATATATGGTCTACATAAGTACTTACATAGAACTATACTAAAAAAAATTAGCACATATAAACAAGTTTTTACAAATGGTTTAAAAACAAAAAGTCGCCTCCGTCTGGATTCCCAGACTAAGTGTAATGCAAGTGCACATGCCATACCAAAATACTCGGTATTCAAGTTAAATGTAAAGCGCAATTAAAATCCCTCGTGGCGTAAGTCGTTATAGAACGAAAAGGTTTGCTTTCTCAATGGATTACAATGCATTTGCTAATTAACTGCGGGCGGGGCTGGGGGAGGGGTAACAGCTTGTGTCGTAATGTCTCGATAATGAAAACAAATTGTAACTATTTTTAAATCTTGTGGATTTACGCTTAATTGGCGCTATCTCCGCCAACCGGCCCCCTTTACCTTTCCCCATTATTAGTTTGCACAGCTGACGAAGTGCGCAAAGTGCAGGCATAAAACACTTGCCCGCTCATCCATAAAAAAAAAACTGGGCATAGCCAGCTCCAATAAAACTGGCGACTACTTGAAATACGCGTCTGATAACACGGCAAAGGTAGCCGTTAGTCGAGCCCGATAATGCGCATTTACCAATTTCATATCGTAAATAGTTAAAAAAGAAATGCCAGTTTATAGACTGTCGAAATCATATACAGCTACTGCTAGATTTATATTGGATTGTAAATTGAACCCTGTAAAAACAACACCGTCCGGCTATTTTTACTGTACGCAATACGAAACCCCTTTTTAGTGGACAGACGACATTCCCCAGTCACAAAATCAGACAGTTTTTTGTTTATTGTTTATCGCAAATGATATTATTATTGTTAATTCGCCGGGAGGTTATTGAAACTTGTTGAATTCTTCGTAATCGCGACGTTTGTTTATATTATAAATATATCATAGGCCAGATACACGTATATTTATGTATATATACATATAGTCTGTACAGAAGTGGTCTCAGCTGCCGCCACACGCGGCTGGCGTGGGACCTGGCTATCGCTGGGACTTTGAACCGACGCACTGGAAGTTGGTCCCCCCCCCTACTCCTCTCCTCCTCCATTGCCAGTGTGCAGCCTATTTGTGTATCTCAGATCTTGTATCTATTCCCGTCTGTGCATTTGTTTGCGGTTTTCGAACTGTTTGCTTATGTCGGCATGATTTTGTATTTACATGAAGTAACTGAGTTTACAAATGAATACCAGCCTGATTATATGTTATGTCTTGGACATATTTTCTGTTTAGCAGCTGCGCTATTTCAGACGTCATCCGTTTGTATATATAAGACAGATCTTGTTTTTTAAGTTTTAAAATAGAACATATAAATGACGCGAGTGTCAAACTTATGCAAGGGATGTTTTTTTTTTGGTAGCAAGTGTTTTTCAAGCATATCTTTATTAGATGCAATGGATAATCTAAACTGTAGCTATAAAGATAACCATCCATCATTGCTTGAGGCAATCATTCTCATAAATCCCAGTTGTGACTATTATCTTTTGGGTTGTCGCTTTTATAAGTCATTCTAAAACTTTTCCACTGCGTTTAATTTTGTTCTTCAATTTGGACTCCGTACATGGTCCGACCTACATCACGCCCACATTAGCTACACGCGCTTCATGCAAGAATCTTATCAACTTTAAACAGAAGTTCTATAAAATGCTCATTCATAAAATTGGTTTATTTTTAGTTGAAATACAGCTTCCCCTCGCTATCACGCATTTCGATCGTGCAGCATTATCAATTGTCCGATACAATCAATTCAATTGGGGGCCAATCAATCTTTGCTAAATTCCTCTATCGTTTATTGCGCACTTTGTGGAAAAGTTCAGTGTGCCAAAAAACCCGTCGAACCCGTGCTCAGAATGGGTCTTATCTTCGAACTGGGAGAGTCGGCGGCAAAGGTGTGACGAAAAATATTATAAATTAAACAAAAATCACACGTCATTTTACTAAATCTTAGACGTTTCGACTACGAGCTGCCCTGTATTTAGTTGGCAATTAAAGCGATGACTGTGGAAGTACCAAGAATTGGCGACAAGGCATGCAAAAGCTATATACCCTTCGTGTGACTGGACCCAGGGTATGCAGCTAATGAGCCATACTCCTGGCTCCCCCCAGCCTGAGACACTCGCAAATCACATGTTAGACACCTGATACTAATCGCAGAACCCCCGAAAAAAAGAAAGAAGAAAAACAAACAATCAGACGAATATTATCGCCTAGCAATTGTTTTTTTTACTTGGCTGCCAAAAAAAACCGCTACCGGTCTGGTTCTGTTTATAGTCGTAGATCTCTCCCCCCTCGCCAAAAAAAAAACGCAGTCTTGGGTCTAGAGAGTATAGTGCGAGTATATTTCACCAATGTGTCACCGTCTTGCGTCTCCGACGCCGCAGCGTGACGCAGCCCTCCGGCAGATAAGTTCGATCGTGCTCTTGCCGGCCGGCTGGGACTTTGACCAATGCGAAATGAGCGTTTAATTCACGAGTATGCCTATGTGTGGGTTTTATGTCTGACTGCCCAACAGATTGCCAGATTGATAATACGTATCGGACCGAGGCAGGCGATTCCACTGGAGCGCTGAACTTGGCCGCTTATCGGCGCTAGTCTTCTGGGGGCCCCAGCATTGATTAATTAGTTTTTAGAGCAACCTATATACATACACATAGTATATACACATACATATGTACATACATAGATATCGAAACTGTTCTCATGCCTTGCCTGCCCTCTGTTCGGGTTGGAGATAATTTCGTGTCTCTTTCTCTATCATGTGGCGCGTGTTATGGAAAATTTTGCTCGATTTTTATCGTAGCGAATTTTTTCCATGTGACAAACAAATTTGCATTTCGTTATAAATAGATGATTATAATTTATCTGCTATATATAGAGGTGTTTATAAATTCATGCTAAAGAACAAATAATGTGAATATTAAAATGCATTTTAAGCTAATGTATTTAGCAGAAGCTGGGGTTGATAAACCCATCATCCAAAAAAAAATATACATATGTATATTATATATATACTTTGAAGCAGGGAAAATTGACAATATATTTATACAGTTAATTTGCGACAGAGCATGTAAAGATCTGCCTTGATTTAATATTTGAAATACCTCAAGAATCCTGACAAACACTGAAATTTATAAATACAAATGATTTGATTTATTTCGCTTGTCAATAAATACACGAATATAATTAAAAGTGTTTTTAATGTTTCTCATTTTATTTTGTTTTGCAAAGTTTTGTGTTTTGAAGCTCTTAACCTTAAATTACATATTTAACGTTCTTGTTATTGCGGTTAATATATTTAAAATTGTTGTTTATGAGCAGCAGTTTTTTATATATATATGTATGTATATAGGAATTTAAATTTTAAATGCACCCGTTGCGCTCGTAATAAACATGTGCTGTAACTGATCAATAAATACATACAATAAAGAATAATAAATAATTATGAATTACGAGTACTCCACAATTTGATAACGTTAAGAAGGCGTGGCGCCACCTTTGATAAAACTGTATGTTCGTATGTGTGAGTGTGAAGAGTGTGGCTCATTTGAACTATCTTTTATTTATGAAATAATCAAGTCAAGATTGGCAAAATTGCCGCAAGTGGACATACTTTTTACGCAGCACTTTTTCTGCCCCTTGTGAGAGAATTGCCGATTATGAATATTCGATAGGCAGAAGAGCAGCGAAAGAAGCAGATGCAAATACCAAATGCATTAAAAATCAAAGTGAGAGAGGGTCTTTCAGCGACGCATGCAAAAGTAGTGCACAGGGCGAGAGAGAGTGGGATAGTGAGTGAGAGCGCTTGAGCAATTGAGCGCGACAGTCGATCTGCTCTGCTCCTAGCGCTGCCGTCACTCAGCTGGCGTGCGCTCCTGTGGGTTAGACGGCGCTGCGCTCTGCTGTCGTCGCTCATTCGCTTGTGAGCAGCCGTCAGTGTCGCGTGTGCCCCAACAAGCGCTGTGTGGAATAAATAAGTTGAGGCAAGCGCAAAAATTCTAAATGCATATTTACATGCGTGCGTGCATGCGTGTGTGTATGCGTTTGTGTGTTTGTGTGTAGTGGTGTGCGTGCATGCAAATTTGGTGCAAAACAGAAAGTTTTAATGAAAATTTTGTGCTAATTCACGTTGTACAACAACAACTAGTAAATTGTTAATTCTTTTTTGTTCTTTTACAGCAAATACAACCGCGTTTTCTGTGCTAATTAAAGTGTTTAACCAACTGCAAGTGAAAACACAAAAATCAAGTAAAACAATTGCAATATTTAACGAAGAGCAACGCAAAACGAGAAAAAAGTTTAAGCAAGTGCAACGGTAACAACGTATAATGGCACCAATTACCACTGACAATTGCGAATTTGAATGTGCAACAAGTGTTGATAGCAGCATCAACGGCAGCCAAAACAATAACTTTGAAAACGTTATCGATATCGATAACGATAACTTTGTGAGCAACGCGTCGAATGATTCGAATTTGAGCCAAGTTCAAGCCGAACACCATGTCGCTGAGCAGGAGCAGCAGCAGGAGGAGCAGGAGCAGGAAAAGCAGCAGCAGATGCCATGGGAGGCACCTGGCAAACAGGGACTCTACGATCCTCAGAACGAGCACGAGGCATGCGGCGTGGGATTCATTGTGGCCATCGATGGCAAACGCTCTCACAAGGTAAATTTGCTATTAGTAAATCGCCCTTTACATACTCAATCTGAATATCTCTCCGTTTCTTTGTACAGATTCTACGTGATGCCCAGACCCTGTCAGAACGGATGAATCATCGCGGCGCCTGCGCCTGCGATAATGACACCGGGGATGGCGCTGGTGTATTGGCTTCCATTCCGCACGGACTCTATGCCAAGGCTCTGTAAGTTCACATTCAATGCGTGAAGGGGGTGGAGGGGAGTGGAAGGTGCACTTGGCAAAGTTACAGCTTTGCCGCCTGCCATTGATGAATGTCTTGAACAGCGGGCACATACGTCAACCATGTTGACGATGTGCGCGATATCGCGGCGATCTCGTGCGCGAAATACAAAAAAATTGTCTATCAGTAGAGGGAATACCCTGTAATAACAGTTGTGGGTATTATAGCTAAGTCTAGTGCATTAGTCATTCAGTTAGCAGGAACTTACAACTGGGCGAGATTTAGTTCTATAGTTCTCTTCGATCTGTGGCAACTTATCTTATCTTTTGGCCATATTTAATTAATTTTGTGATAACGCTTTTCAAAACTTTTCTTAATATAAATAATTATCCAACTTGAATAGATAATGAACAGGCCTAAGACTGGGCTTGATTTATAAGGGTTATATGTATTTCAAATGCAATGAAATATACCCTAAGCATGCTCTATAGTCGTCTCGGCCTTTAAGGGTATTTAAACAGTCACCTTTCTCCTACAATGTTCTACATGTTATTTTGTTATTTACAACTGAATATAGACATATATATATATACGTATATGTATATTTGCTAGAGCTGTTTGCTTCATTGGCTCGGTCTCGACACAGAAATGAATATAATAAAACATTTGCACATCAGGCGAGCACGTCAAAAATAGTTTGCACACCATCCATTGAATATTCCCATAAGCATCTAGAATTATTTCAAAATTTCTCTTTGCGCTTGTTTTTATTGCCATTTACGTTTTTGCTATTGTTGTTGTTTTTCTGGCCCCATACGGGTTTTGAGTGCTCGTCACGCTCAGCTTGTATTCACCAAATACATATATAAATATATATGTACATATATATCAGACAATTTTGGATTATATGTAGAAAGTTGTAGCTGGGGCTTCAGTTGGGCATCGGGTACAATTTGCAGGTAATTACTTATGCACAATTGTTCCAAGGTCTGCCAAATATGACACATGAGTAGTAATAAGCTCTGTTCTGCTTTTTTTTTTATCGCTTTTAACAATATGTTTACACAAATATGAGTATATATATATATTTATATATACTTACAGTTTGTGGGTTTTGAACATTGCAAATGGTTTTAACAACAAAGAACTTAGACTAATAATACCCTTTAATTTATATATGATGATAGAGCATGACTATTAAAAACATTCTCCAGCAGTTTAGCTAATGTTTAGCACGTTCTAAAAATAGTCGAAATATTTTAGATACTCTGCAATCCAACAAAAACAAAAGGCCGTAAATCTTGTTTAATTAGCGCCTAGACACGGCAGCCTAATTGTTATGTCTAAACGATATTTTGTTGGTTTTGGCGTCGCGCGACAGGAAACCTGTGAAATACACTTGGAAAACAAGTCGAAATTCGCAGCAGTCACGCACGTGCCGAGTGATTGGGAATGGGAGCGGGAGAGGAATGGGCGGCGGCAGAGCTGTTTTGGGATGTGGAGCAACAAGTTTTCTAATGTCAAGTTCGGGAAACGCCTTGGGTCAGACATGAGCACATGTTACGCGAACTATATATATGCCGAGAGTTCTCTAAGCCCTCAGCTCGTGCGAAATGCAAAATGCGCCTTCTGAATGACAAACGGACAAACAGCCGAGGCTGATAATGCGCCATCTGTTCCGTCATTTTGACGCAATGGACGCAATCGCAGCCCCAATGAATGGCGATAAATGAATGGCGGAATTGACACGACAGGGTAGACAATTACGGCGTAAGCGTTTAATTCAATTGTCAATAAAAAGACGCGCATTTACAATACCCCCCTTTGATGATTTGTAATGCATACACTGAAAAAAAGTTATTGGTGCTTTTGACAAATCAAAGAAAGTCAATAGAATAAACATAGCTTGGCTTTATTTAAATATAATCTCTCTAAGTGTATTCGCGTGCACTGAGAAAAAATGCCTGGCTACATAATTTAAATTGAACTCTTTTCAATTAAAGTAAATATTATTAAATTAAACTTGATCAAGCCAAGTATATTATCAGTGTATTCATCAAAAAAAAAAAATCAAACAGCGGGTGAATGTTTGACATAAACTGCTCTGAAGACTCAACACAATTTTTCTCAGTGTACTCACTTGAGCTTACAGTCCAGCCCACGCAGTGACCGAAATATATGCTTAGTATATATAATTTACTTCTTCCAAGCCTCACTAAATTTAAATAGAACTTGGGCTAAGTCACCAGAGTACAATTGAATATATCAAGTTTTATTTATGCATGATTTCTCTCAGTGCACCTGCTTTATTTAAATGCAAATAGACTGCGTCCAACTTCTTCCAAAACTCAATTAACTTGAATACTCAAAATGCAATTGAATATTTTCTCATTTTCGCTCAGTGTATTTAGTGTACTCAAACTTTGAAATTGTATTTTCCTGCAGCGCTGTACAGGGCGTAACCTTGCCGGAGTTGGGCAACTATGCCACGGGCATCTTCTACTTGGACGTAGCTCAGCACGCCTCCGCCGAGGCGGAGTTCGATGAGCTGGCCAAGAGTCTGGGCTTGTCGGTGCTCGCCTGGCGCACCGTGCCGGCCAATCAGCAGGCCATCGGGGGTGTGGCACGCAAGTCGGAGCCGTTGTCGCGTCAGGTGTTCGTTGCCCGTCCCGAGGGCACGGACGAGAAGTCCTTTCAGCGTCAGGTGTTTGTGCTGCGCAAGCGTGCCAGCCATGAGCTGGCCAAGCCGGGCAGACGCTTCTACATCTGCTCCTTGTCGGATCGCACGGTCGTCTACAAGGGTCTGTTCACCTCGGACCAGCTGTGGGACTACTACACGGACCTAAAGGATCCCGATTTCGAGACCTACATGGCGCTGGTGCACACGCGCTTCTCCACCAACACTTTCCCCAGCTGGGAGCGAGCTCATCCGCTGCGCGTCCTGGCCCACAACGGCGAGATCAACACGCTGCGTGGCAATGTGAATCTGATGAAGGCACGCGAGGGCGTCATGCAGTCGGAGCTGTTTGGAGAACAGCTCAAGAAGCTGTATCCCGTCGTGGAGCCCAATCTGTCCGATTCGGGCTCCTTCGATTGCGTGCTCGAGTTCATCACAATGGCCAGCGACCGTTCGCTGCCCGAATCCGTGATGACCATGGTGCCGGAGGCCTGGCAGAACGATCGCACAATGCCGCAGGAGAAGCGCGACTTCTATCAGTGGGCCGCCTGCGTCATGGAGCCCTGGGATGGCCCGGCCCTGATCAGCTTCACCGATGGACGTTACATTGGTGCCGTGCTGGATCGCAATGGGCTGCGTCCGTCGCGCTTCTATGTGACCAAGGAGAATGTGCTGGTGATGGCCAGCGAGGTGGGCGTCTATGATGTGGATCCCTCCCAGGTGACGCTCAAGAGTCGTCTCAAGCCCGGTCGCATGTTGCTGGTGGACACCAAGGAGCAGAAGCTCATACAGGACATTGAGCTGAAGGCGCGCATAGCCAAGTCGCGTCCCCACTCCGACTGGCTGCAGCAGAAGGTGAGTTCCCTGTCTCCGCCAAACAGGTCGATTCACCCACTCTTTAACACGCCACGCACATCTCGACACGCACTTGGTGATTGTTTTTAATCGTAACTCTCTGTAATTGTAATTGTTGTTGGTCTCACTTTGTCCATTTCTCCGCCATGCTCACAATGTGATATAATCGCTCCCATAATAATAACGGGGACTAATCCAGATGGTGAGTTGACGGACCTTGCGCCGAGTCGCGTAGTCGTTGTAGAAATTTTGTTGCTTTACGTTGGGTTGCATCGCATGTCCTTGTTCCACAGCTGCTCCAAAAGACTGTTAGCCTAATCCAATTCTCACCTTGTTACCGCCCATCAGATCACGCTGGACGAGATCCGCAATGCCAATGTGCTGAGCACGCCCATCGTGGAGCCGCCCAAGCTGCCAGCCTCGCAGCGCGGCATCTTTGATCCGCGTCTATCGCTCTTCGGCTACACCACGGAGACGGTCAATATGCTGCTAATACCCATGTTCCAGAACAAGTAGGTAGCCTCAGACTTTAATCCTTGCATGTCCTAATCCCTGTTCTTGTGTCCTTGCAGAAAGGAGGCACTTGGTTCCATGGGCAACGATGCGCCGCTCGCCTGTCTCTCCGGCTATCAGCCTATTCCGTACGAGTACTTTAAACAGCTGTTCGCACAGGTGACCAATCCACCAATTGATCCATTCCGCGAGAAGGTCGTCATGTCCATGCAGTGTCCACTTGGACCGGAGGCGAATCTGCTGCAGCCATCGGCACAGCAGGTGCATCGCATTTGGCTACTGAATCCCATACTGAGCATTCCAGATACCCAGCTGCTCAAGCGCAACACGCACCGTGGCTGGAAGACCAAGGTCCTGGACATTACATTCCAGTACAGCGAGGGCTACCAGGGCTATCTCGATTGCATCGATCGCATCTGCCGCGAGGGCGCTAATGCCGCCCAGGCGGGCTACCAGCTGCTCGTGCTCTCCGATCGTGAGGCTGGCTGCAACGAGCATGTTGCGGTTTCCGCTCTGCTAGCGCTGGGTGCACTGCATCATCATCTGATCGAGACGCTGCAGCGCATGAAGGTTGGCATTATTGTGGAGACGGCCGAGGCGCGCGAGGTGCACCACGTTTGCGTCCTGCTCGGCTATGGCGCCGACGCCATCTGCCCCTATCTGGCCTTCGAGCTGGCCCAGGCGCTGCGTGATGATGGCGTCATCGGTGCGGACGTCACCGACAAGCAGATCTATGCCGCCTACGCCCAGGCAATTGACACGGGCATCGCCAAGGTCATGGCCAAGATGGGCATCAGCACGCTGCAGTCCTACAAGAGCGCCCAGATCTTCGAGGCGGTGGGCTTGGGCAATGAGGTGATCGACAAGTGCTTCCGCGGCACCCAGAGCCGCATTGGCGGCGTCACCCTCGAGATACTGGCCAAGGAGGGTCTCGAACGCTTCCAGTTGACCTATGGCAAGGTGTCGCCCGATACGCGCATTCTGCGCAATCCCGGACAATATCATTGGCGTCATGGCGGCGAGGCGCACATCAACGAGCCCTCCTCCATCGGCAGCCTGCAGGAGGCGGCCGTCAACAAGAATCTGAGCGCCTTCGAGGCCTTCAAGAAGACCACCCTGGAGAGCGTCAAACAGTGCTGCCTGCGTGGCCAGCTGGAGTTCGTGTCCGATCGCCAGAAGATTGAGCTGGCCGAGGTGGAGCCGGCCAGCGAGATTGTTAAGCGGTGCGTAACAAGTTCTTAAAATCTCAACTGTTCTTTGCCTTAATCAACCCTTTTTTCTCTTTCAGTTTCGCGACTGGCGCCATGAGCTTTGGCAGCATCTCGTTGGAGGCGCATCAGACGCTCTCCATAACCATGAATCGCATCGGTGGCAAGAGCAACACCGGCGAGGGCGGCGAGGATTCCGATCGCTATCTGAGTAAGTACCGGCACGACGAGGTACTTCCGCAATTTTGCATCATTCTGTTTCTATGTTTCTCCCGAGCAGATCAGGACCCGAATAACAGCCGGCGTTCGGCCATCAAGCAGGTGGCCTCGGGTCGCTTTGGTGTGACCGCCTCGTATCTGGCCAATGCGGATGATCTGCAGATCAAAATGGCTCAGGGCGCCAAGCCGGGTGAGGGCGGCGAGCTGCCCGGCTACAAGGTGACCAAGGACATTGCCAAGACGCGCAAATCGGTGCCGGGCGTGGGTCTAATATCCCCGCCGCCACATCACGACATCTACTCCATTGAGGATCTGGCCGAGCTGATCTACGATCTCAAGTGCTCCAATCCCAATGCGCGCATCAGCGTCAAATTGGTCTCCGAAGTGGGAGTGGGCGTGGTGGCCTCTGGCGTGGCAAAGGTACATTAAATAACTCCTAGCCAAATAAAAATAGATGCTCTAAATGCCGATCTCCTGTTTTGCAGGGCAAAGCCGAACATATTGTCATCTCTGGCCATGATGGCGGCACCGGCGCCAGCTCCTGGACGGGCATCAAGAATGCCGGACTGCCCTGGGAGCTGGGCATTGCAGAGACGCATCAAGTACTTGTTTTGAATAATCTACGCTCAAGGTAAGTTTCCGACCAGCAGACCCCTGGGCACACCCCCCCAACCCCCTATTGTTACTAATCATGAAAGAAACATATTACTGAAGAGCCTGGTTATCCAGATGACAGCGTTGGAAAACGTATTGAGATTTAACGCGCATGAATTCAGTTTAAAGACAAATGATCGAACGATCGCGCTGCGGATTGATACTGAGATCTGAGTATATGGCTGACCGGATTAAGGAAAGTGATCTATATATATATGTACCCACACATATGCATGCATATAACTCGATGTGGTCGTTAATGCTGCTGTGTTCCATGCTCAAAATTCAGTCAATGATCGTGAGATCGCTGGATATATCGAGATAAATATACATGTATACATAGCCTGATTGCTTACACTTTCGCCCACAAGTCATCAACACACACGTCAAATGTATACCAAATAAAGATCCGCTAAAGATCCGAACCGCTCCGATCCGATCTGATCTGATCCAATCCAATTCGAACCGAACCGATCGGTGCCATCCACTCACTTGCTCGCTCGCACGATCGTCGCGCCGCGCTGTGCTCCATTCGTAATTTCTTCTCATTACATTGAATTCTATTCTGAATATCTAATTAACATTGCATTCCCTTCCATGTCATATCTTCCCACTCCCATGGATCGCTTGTGGCTGTGCAGGGTGGTCGTTCAGGCGGATGGACAACTGCGCACGGGCTTCGACGTGGTTGTGGCCGCGCTGCTTGGCGCCGACGAGTTTGGCTTCAGCACGGCTCCCTTGATTGTCATGGGTAGGTAGAGATATCCATCTAGTTATCAATCCTCTCTAATATCCGGTATCTTTGCTCCAGGCTGCACCATGATGCGCAAGTGTCATTTGAACACCTGTCCCGTGGGCATTGCCACACAGGATCCAGTGCTGCGCAAGAAGTTTACCGGCAAGCCGGAGCATGTCATCAACTTCTTCTTCATGCTCGCCGAGGACGTAAGTATTCCACTAAATAAACGCCGACCTTAGCTCATGCTTTTGCTCTTTCAGATACGTCAAATCATGGCCAATCTGGGCATACGCAAGTTCCAGGATCTGATTGGACGCACCGATCTGCTGCGCATGGCCAGCCAGCGAGACACCAAGGCCAGCAATTTGGATCTCAAGCTGCTGCTGCAGCCGGCGCTGGAACTGCGTCCGGGCACCAACATTGTGGGCGGCTCCGTCAAGCAAGATTTCCAGCTGGAGAATCGTTCCGATAACCAGTTGATCGAGCAGGCTCAGCAGATCTTTAACGGTGCAAGGGACAATATCACCGTGAAGATGCCCATACACAACGAGGAGCGTGCGTTCGGCTCGACCCTGAGCTATCACATTGCCCTCAAATATGGCGAAGCTGGCCTGCCCGCTGGCAAGAGCATTGACATCTTCTTGGAGGGCTCGGCTGGCCAGAGCTTCTGCGCCTTCCTCGCGCGTGGCGTCAACGTGACCCTCAAGGGCGATGCCAACGATTATGTGGGCAAGGGCCTCTGTGGTGGCAATATAATCATCACACCACCCGACACCGTTACTTTCGAGTCGCATCTGAATGTGATTGCGGGCAATGTATGCCTCTATGGCGCCACCGAGGGCAACGCCTATTTCCGTGGCATTGCCGCCGAGCGGTTCTGTGTGCGCAATTCGGGTGTGACCGCCGTGGTGGAGGGTGTCGGTGACCATGGCTGCGAGTACATGACTGGCGGATTGGTTGTGATCCTGGGCTTGACTGGACGCAATTTTGCAGCGGGCATGTCCGGTGGCATTGCCTATGTCTATGACATTGATGGTTCGTTCAAGCCCAAGGTCAATCCGGAGTCAGTGGAACTGCTGCCGCTGCAACTGGACGAGGATGTGGCTCTCGTGAAGAAGCTGCTGGCTGACTTTATTGAGAAAACCGACTCGAAGGTGGCCAAACAGCTGCTGGATAACTGGGCGCAAGAACAGTCCAAATTCGTCAAGGTCTTCCCATACGAGTACCAGAAGGCGCTCAAGGACATGGCCGAGCAGGAGGCGGTGCAACAGCCCGTCAAGGTGGCGGCCATCGAGAACGGCAACGGTAAACACGAGCCGCACATCAAGGACATCGAGGAAGCCATTCAGGATGTGACCCTGGAGCAGAAGCGTGCCGATCGTGTGCTGGACAAGACGCGCGGCTTTGTCAAATACAAGCGCGAGTCGGCTCCATATCGCGATGCCGGCGAACGCCAGCAGGACTGGAACGAGGTCTACAATTTCCCACATGTGCGCAAGAACCTCAAGATGCAGGCCGCCCGCTGCATGGAGTGCGGTGTGCCCTTCTGTCAGTCCAACTCGACGGGCTGTCCGCTGGGCAACATCATACCCAAGTGGAACGATCTGGTCTTCCACGGCGAATGGCAGGAGGCACTGCGTCAGCTGCTGCAGACCAACAATTTCCCCGAATTTACGGGACGCGTTTGCCCGGCGCCCTGCGAGGGCTCTTGCGTGCTGGGCATCTCGGAGCCGGCGGTGACCATCAAGAATATTGAGTGCGCCATCATCGATCATGCCTTCGAGCAGGGCTGGATCAAGGCCGAGATACCAGAGAAGCGCACCGGCAAGCGTGTGGCCATTGTGGGCTCAGGTCCATCCGGACTGGCCGCTGCCCAGCAGCTCAACCGTGCCGGACACTTTGTTACGGTATTTGAGCGCAACGATCGCGTCGGCGGCCTGCTGCAGTACGGCATTCCAACTATGAAGCTGTCCAAGGAAGTGGTCAAGCGGCGTGTGGACCTCATGGCCGACGAGGGCATTGAATTCCGCACCAATGTGCACATTGGCAAGGACACCAGCGCCGAGAAGTTGGTGCAGAGGTAAGTAAAATAAAGGGGATTCAAATGGAGCCCTCGCTAATCACTTCTCTCTGACATTTTCAGCTATGATGCCGTGCTACTGACCACTGGCTCCACCTGGCCTCGTGATTTGCCTTTGGACAACCGCGATTTGCAGGGCATTCACTTTGCCATGGAGTTCCTCGAAGCGCAGCAGAAGAAGCAGCTGGGCGGCAAGAAGGACATCATCTCGGCTGAGGGCAAGGATGTCATCATCATTGGCGGCGGCGATACCGGCTGCGACTGCATTGCGACCTCGCTGCGTCAAGGCGCCAAGAGCATTACCACCTTTGAGATATTGCCGGAGCCGCCATTGAAGCGTGCCGACGACAATCCCTGGCCGCAGTGGCCCAAGGTGTTCCGCGTGGACTACGGCCACGAGGAGGTGCGTCTCAAGTGGGGCAAGGACCCGCGCCAGTACTGCACCACAACCAAAGAGTTTGTCGGTGAGAATGGCCACATCAAGGGCGTCCACACCATCGAGGTGGAGTGGACCAAGACAGAGACTGGCCAGTGGCGCATGCAGGAGGTTGCCGGCTCGGAGAAATACTTTGCAGCCGATCTAATTTTGCTGGCCATGGGCTTCCTGGGACCCGAGAAGACGGTGCCCAACGAGCTGGGTCTGGAACTGGATCCTCGCGGCAACATAAAGGCCTGCAATGAACAGTATGGCACCTCGAATCCCAAGGTGTTCGCAGCGGGCGGTAAGTTGACTTGGTCGAGTCACACGACAACAGCACCCCTTCAATATTCTGCTTTACAGATTGCCGGCGCGGTCAGTCTTTGGTAGTGTGGGCCATTACGGAGGGTCGTCAGGCGGCGCGTCAAGTGGATTCTTATCTGACCGGTTTTCCCAGCGGTTTGCCCGGACCTGGTGGTGTCATTGATCCCACAGTACCCAGGTTCTAAGTACCTGATGATGCTGACGAGGATGAGGATGGGGATGAGGAAGAGGAAGAGGAAGAGGATGGTGATGCGGGGAGTCTGTTTGTGTGCGTGCGTCGTCCTTAGCTTAGAAAAATTCGTGTGTTTTCGCTCGAAAACCGATTTACAATTTGTGATTTTTATTTTCGCGATTTTAGTTTAGTTAACACTAAAAAGACTTGAGTTTTTTTACAATATTAAACACGTTTTCCTTTTGGTTTTATTTTATGCGACGCCACGCCCACATGTGGCGCTGCTGGCCAGGCTAGCCGTCGCGATGCCCTCCAAGACGATGTTGCAGATTGAGTCAATTACGAGTGCAAATCGATATGTTTCGAAAATCCCAAAATTGTGGGGCTAAAACAAATATCCAAATTCAAGGACAATAACTAGAAATTAACCGTTACCGCGTTTTGAAAAGCAAAAAAAAAAAAACAAAAAAACTATAATATCACATAATAGAAATGCGTTTGTGTTCCATATGGATATCGTACTTATTTGATTTATATTTCGTGAGCTGTTTAGAAAAATTGGTATGCTGATTCTCCCCCAATTAATAAAAATACTTTTGGCACTGACCACATATATATGTAATCGTCTCAGCTTATATCGAATTGCATTTGTAGATGTTGTTCGTTTTTTGAGCTACAACTGATCGTTAATTGCAAAGTACCTACAAACGATTTACAATATGTATTAACAAAATAAAAAAAAATATTGAATTTTCAAAGCCACATGTTAAGTGTCCCTTTGGCAAGCTACCATTATTAATCTATATATATATATATATATATATATATATATATGTAACAAGCAAATTATCCATTACAATATATACCTTCTGTATACAAACATATATATGAAATAAAATGGTGAAGTATTAAATATATATTGAAGTGTTGCAAGCAAAATTCAAAGAGCATTTTATTTGGCGCTCAAGTGTTAGCTGTTAAGAAGTTCATTGCTACATCACCACCAGATACATCGATTTAATTTAAAATATCGCTTACTTGACTATCGGCTTTTCCAAATCGATGTTGCCTGCTGTCAGTGTGTACATATTGAAAAAATAAAAAATAACATTTCTTTTCGCCATAGGGCAGCACTGTGCGACTTTCGCACGCGTATTTTTGTGCAGATTTCGTGTAGAAATTCATAGTAATTTGTTGTGAATATAGTAAAATACAGCTGCAATTATGGCACAATTCGATCTAACACGCATCAATTGTCAGTATCTGGACAGACACTTGACTTTTCCACTGCTGGAGTTTTTGTGCGGCAAGGAGGTTAGAAAAATTCATTGCTTCGTGTCACCGTCATCAGCACGGGCAAAATGCCGAACAAAGCGCTGAATGTTTATATATTGTGTATATTCTGCAGATCTACAATCAGCAAGAGCTGCTGGAGTACATTCTGGAGACGGTGAACAAGACGAACATGATTGATTACACCATGGACACGCGCAAGCGTCTCAATCTCAGCCAGGAGATGCCGGATGAGCTGGTGCAGCGCAAGGCCGAGGTGTTGGCCACACTGAAGCAGCTCCAGAACGAGGTGGCGCCCATCATGAAGGCCACCGATATCCTGAAGAATGGCGAGAGCATGAAGGACTCGAAGACCTTTGTGAACGCGCTGCAAAAGGATTACAACTTCAAGGTGGAGCACCTGGAGAGCGCCTACAAGTTGGCCAAATACTTGTATGAGTGCGGCAACTACCAGGAGTCCACATCATATTTGTATTTCTGCCTTATTGTCATGTCGCCCAACGATAAGGTGAGTCACATTCAATTTTTCCCCAGAATTAGTTTTTTATTTATTATCCTTGCAGAACTACTTAAACGTACTGTGGGGTAAGTTAGCCGCCGAGATTTTGACCCTGAACTGGAATACTGCACTGGAGGATTTGACGCGTCTGCGTGACTACATTGACGGCGCCAATTTCTCGACCATTCAGGCGCTGCAACAGCGCACCTGGCTGATCCACTGGTCGGTGCTGGTGTTCTTCAACCATCCCAAGGGACGCGACCTCATCATCGAGATGTTCCTGTACAAGCCGCTCTATCTGAACGCTATACAGACAATGTGCCCGCACATTATGCGTTATTTGGCCACCGCTGTGGTCATCAATCGCACGCGTCGCAATGCGCTCAAGGATTTGATTAAGGTCATACAGCAGGAGTCGTACACGTATCGTGATCCCATCACCGAGTTCCTCGAGTGCCTCTACGTGAACTTTGACTTTGAGGGCGCCCGTCTGAAGCTGCATGAGTGCCAAACGGTCATTTTGAACGACTTCTTCATTGTCGCCTGCCTCAACGAGTTTGTGGAGGATGCGCGTCTGATGATCTTCGAAACATTCTGTCGCATCCATCAGTGCATCACCATCAGCATGCTGGCCGACAAGCTGAACATGAAGCCCAACGAGGCCGAATGCTGGATCGTCAATTTGATACGCAACGCACGTCTGAATGCCAAGATCGATTCGAAGCTGGGTCATGTGGTGATGGGCACACAGCCACTCAGTCCCTATCAGCAGCTGGTGGAGAAGATTGACTCGCTGTCCATGCGCTCAGAGCATTTGGCAGGTCTGATTGAGCGTAAGAGCAAAGCAAAGAATCAAGAATCGATTGACTCCTGGAAGTACTATTAATCATAAGATAAACATTATTTTTTTGTATTTCAAACCGTGGCCCATGTCTGCGTGTGCTTTACAATTTATAGAAAAACAAACGTCACACGGCGCGAATAAAACAACATCCTCTATTCGCAGCCTGAATACCAATGCTGTAGTCCATTCAACATCAAATTTAATTTTATTTCCATATGGAATAAGTTACAAAACAATACGGAGGCCGATAAGAGCTGCGGCTATTACAAAAATTTACAATTTGTCTAGCCTATAATGCAAAAAGGTCCTAGTCCTAGTTCTAGTTCTCTATTTATAGCTTCTTGTACCAATGACTGTGCGCCTAGCGCAGAACGAAGATCATACGATTAATTGCTACCTCAATTTGTCCTTTTTCGCGGAAGGCTTGACCACCATCCAAGCACGCGTGGGAAGATTCTGCAAATGGATTATCCACTTGCGTACCACCAGCAGCCAAATGATGCCATAGACCACGCACACCATGGCCTCCAAGTAGTAGCCATCAAAGATAATTTCGCACTTGCCGTTAGCCGTGGTGCAGGCCTAAGGGAACACGGATAAATTAATAATAGAATCTATTAATGATATTAACCAATTAGGAAACTTGCCTGCAGTCCTTCTTTGTTCTCGCAGAGATTGTCAGGCTGTGTGGTGCACTGCTTTACGGTTAGCACGTCCACCAGCCAGAGCACCACCGTATTTGGCCAGTTGCCACCGAGGTTGCATAAGGTATTAAGGAATGTCATGTAGGTGCCACCAACGGCGGGATCGGATATCTTGGCGAAGAATGCCATAGCTGCCACAAACATGGAGTATAGGAATACCTGATAGCAGCCATAGCTAACGATTAGCAGCACATAGTAGTAGACGGGCACCTCACCGCCAGCGATCAAATATGGCGTGGCATAGGCGATAAGCGTGGCCACAGACGCCAGGAAAATGCGGTAGGGTATTGCCTTTAGGTACACATCCATGGGCCGCGGTCCGTTGGTGTATTTGCCCACCAGGATGGGAAGTATGAGCTGCAGTGGAATCACGGGAATGGCCAACAGGGCCAGTTTCTCCTTCGGCACGCCGGCATCGATTAGCTTCAGCGAGGTAACCGCATCGGAAGCGGCAAATGTTACTTTCACCGTGAGCAGAATACCAGCCAGGATTTGGACGGGTCGCTTGCGTACCATGTCCCACAGGACTTTATAGCTTTCGTGTATGTTTAGTTCGTGCTCCTCTTTGTAGCGCGCTTCAGTGTGGGCATCCTGAATGTCGTTCTCCCGCTTGAACAGCGCGACCAGCGTTGTGGCCACTATGAATGTGACGCCCCAGAACCAGAGGAAACGCGGCAACGTTATCATACCCTCATCCTCAGGCACCGAGCGCAGATACGAGTTACAAAAGTCCTTCGATTCGAGCGCAATAAACACCACATAGCCCAAAAAGTAGCCGGCCGTTTGGCCCACGCTGTTGCAGGTGGATGCGTAGCCGACATTGCAGCGCTTCAGCATGGTCAGGGCCCAGCCATCGACGGCAATGTCCTGCGTGGCGGCCAAAAAGTTGAGCAAAAAAAACAACAGCGTCAGCAGCGGCACATTCGGTTCGATGCCATCGCCGCCCAGCCAGCGATCCACGTGCGCGGACAGCAGCAGCATGAAGCCGCCCAGCAGATACTGCACGGGCACCAGCCACGATTTGCGGCGTCCGAAACGTCGCACATACAGGGAGTCCACAATGGGCGCCCACAGCAGCTTGATGCTGAAGGGCCAATAGGCAAAAGAGAACTCCGCCTGCTGTTTGTAGCTGGCGCCGCGATTCTGTAGCAGCATGGGCACTGCAGCAATTAGGCCAATGGGAATGCCCTGCAGCACGTACAGGAACAGAAGTATGGCAATGTTGCGTCTATCGCCACGCAAATCGGGCTTCTCCTCTTTGTCTTCTGCATCGGCCATGGACTCGGCGAGCTCCCGCCCGTCTTTCGTTTGACCCCGACGACGTGCGGACATGTTGTGAACTACAAGCAAAGTGAATTAATTAAATGTGCTGCACATGTTCAATTTGTTGTTCGATTTGCACTCACCCGCAGCGGCTGTAATCAGCAGAGAAGTTACAACAACACAAGCAGGTCCACGTCAGTTAACGGCGGCAAGCGTTAGCAACCCGTTTCAAAGATGGGCAGGTATGTATTAGTTATTTCGATCGCTAACCCTAACTCCAAACTATGTTTAACAAATTAATTTATGCGATTTATTTCATAATGTGAGTATGTGGCGACGGTTTGTTGACGTTTGCGTTTCCCTAAACGCAAGTACTTTTCATATTTAGTGCGACGATTCTCTTCAGCCACATCGAACTTATCGAAAGCTGGGACAGTATCGAAGTATCGATACCTCATTCAAAGCTAATTTCGCAACGGGTTATTAGATAAATAAAAAAAAAATATTTACTAATATACAAAACAAACAAATGTATGTGTCACGACCCAACATCTTTAATTTTCTGCGCTGATAAGGCAATTAACCCAGCATTGTTAATCCGCAAGAAAACCACGCATATTTTCAGTGTTATTTATTTTATTATTTGTGACTCGGGCTTTGCTTTTACATATATATTATTTCAATAGAATCAAAAATTAAGTATCCATATACTGTTACAGGCTCCAAATCAAAATGACGAAACTGCTGTTCCTAAATAACACATATTCCATTTCAAGACAAATTCATAAATTCTTCAAACTGGTTTCGTTCTCTTTTCAAAAAAGTCTAACACAATTGTGACATGGGTTAATATATTTCAGCTTAGCTTAATAATAATAAAGATTTTTAATTGAAACTGGCTGGATGGCTGTGTGGCGTACCATTGATAAAGTCGCTTTGTGTGCTTGCTCTCGTTTACTCTTATTATTTTTGTGTGTTTGTTTCGATCGTCGTCTCCCAACTGTTTTGCTTTTCATTTTTATTGTTTTTCATTTTCATTTGCTTTGTTTGCGCCCGTATGGCGTGCTCCAGTTAATTAAATTTTGGAAGGCCTTTGCAAATGGCTCCTATTTGGCGGGCGAGCCGCAGAAGACGGACTCCTCCCACTTGTGGTGCACCTCGGGCGTCAAGTTGCTTATCTGGACGTGCACGGCCTGATGTTTCTCGAACTTGGGCGGAATGGCGCACAGGCGATACTTGACCTCGTCGCCGGGCATGGGCACATATTCGCCCTCGATGCTGTTTGGAGTTAAATAGTGTTTATTTTCGTTTGATGTGTGTGTGAAAGAGTGAAGGTGAATTACGCAAACGAAAAAACTTACTCGGAAACATGGCAAAAAACGTCCTCACCGCCGCCATGAGGCGCAATAAAGCCGTGTCCTTTGGTGCGGCTAAAAGATTTCACAACGCCGTGTACAACTGGGTTTTCCATGGCACGCGCCGAACTGTTGAGTGCGCGCGCGTGATTGTGCAAGCAAAAAGGAGAAGGAGGAGCAGACAATTAAATCAATGCCAGATGAGAGAAAGTTGGGATGTGTTATGTGTGGGGGCGGGGGTGGGGGCGGTAGCTAACTTACGTCGAGGCCGTGCGTGTGCGCCGCGTGATGATGGGGCTCGGCAGCTGCAGCGTGGCGTTTGGACTATGGCTATTTTGATGATAGACCGGCGGCTTGGCAGACAGCATCTTTTCGGGTGTTTTTGCCTCGGCCATATTAAGACTTTTTATTCCTGCTATATGAGGTGTTAGTGGGCGGCAGTGACGCGGGGGCGCTTGCGGGGATTGATATAAGTATTGAAGTTAAATTTATTGCGACGGCTAAGGCGGCGGCGGCGGCACCCTGGCAGTGGCTTTTGCTTGCTGCGCGTGTGTTTGGGTTTCTCACTCAAATGGATAGCAGCCAAGTCTGTCGGGTTCAAGGACAGACCGGTTAGTCAGCAAATTGCGTTGCGCTTAAAAAGTAATCGGAATGTCGCTTACCAAATCGGCTGTGTTGCGTGTTGAAGCAGCGCACTTTCACCTGAGAACTACTCGCAAATATCTCTCAGTGTGTGCCCTGGGAATTTGCAATTTGTATCCAGGCACTAATACTGATGCAATTATTTTGCCGGAATTCACAATGTAGTCGCCGGCAATGAGGCTATTATATAGCAGCACGCGAGTATTTTTCAATTCAAAAGTAGCTGGGTGTTCACAATGCGTTGAGTTGTTATTTTTGCGTGATTTTCTTACAATTTGTGCGCTAATAAACAATTGGAATCGTTCCTTTCTTTACAAAACCAAAAATGAATGGCGTCGGCGGCGTCGAAATTTTCGACTCGAAATGGTTTGCAGAGCATCGATACTTAGGCATATCTACTCGATAATATCGCGACAGTGCTGCCAGATATCGCAACTTTAAGTCAACAAAATCGACGCGCTTTATTAATGTTTTTATTATCGCCCGTAAGGCAAACAAATGCAGCAGAATGTTTATTCCATAAAAGCATTTCAACGCTAATTTTCGGTTCCACGCAATTTTTAAAAACTACTGTTGTTCCATGAGCGATAGGTACTCCGATGCAAGATACGCGCTAATGCTAATAGACATGCTGTTTATGGGGGAACATGACGATGAGTATGGGGATTTAATTATTTCCGAAGAGGAAACAGATTCTGATGCAGAAGATCACGGAGATTTTTTTGATACAACCGATGCTGAAGAAACTGATCCTGAAGAAACGGATCCGGAGCCAGCAGAACCTGAGCCAGCAGAACCGGAGCCAGCAGATCCTGAAGAAACTGATGCCGATGAAACTGATGCTGAAGAAGCCAATCCTGAGCCAGCAGATCCCGAAGAAACTGATGCCGGAGAAACTGATGCTGAAGAAGGCAATCCTGAGCTAGCAGAACCAGCGCAAGCAGAACCTGAGCCAGCAGAACCTGAGCCAGCAGAGCCTGCGCAAGCAGAACCCGAGCCAGCAGACGAGCCAGAGCCGCTTCCTGATGAACAAGATGAGGTTGTTCTGCTGGAACCAGCTGCTGAGCGACCCACTACGTCCCGCAGAGCACAGCTGCAACAGGATAACATAATAAATCTTGATTCGCCATCACCACCAAAGAAACGCAAGCGTCTATCCAAAGTGGCCAGCACGGAAATGGGCACGCCGTTAGCCAAGCCATCCTCGAACGACGAAGAGGACGACGGCATGACGTGTCCCATATGCCTGGAGTCGTGGGAGATGAGCGGAGAGCATCGCTTGGTATCACTGCGCTGCGGACATCTGTTTGGCGAGTCCTGCATTCGACGCTGGCTCATCGAGAGTCAACGGCAGTCGGCGGTTAAGGTGTGCCCGCAGTGCAAAACGAAGGCCACCAATCGGGACATACGCTGCCTGTATGCGAAGCGACTGCGGGCCATAGATCGCACAGAGGAGCACGACATGCGCAGGGAGCTGGACGCTGAGCGTCGCCGCGCCCAGGCTCTGACCACCGAACTGGCAACAGTCAAAATGTCACATTCCCTAACCGTCAACAAGCTGAACGAACTGCAGCTGGATTTCGAGAGGCTGCGCCAGGTGCTGCGTGCGGGCGGCGGCTGTCGCGGCGCCTTTAGCGACGGTCTAAGCGGTGGCGGCACACTGAAGAGCCTCAGCCAGTTGACCAGCCATCGACTGTACATGGAGAAGAACTTTGAGATAACACGAGAGCCCGGCTGCCGTGTGCTGCTCTACTCGGCGCCGCACTCCACGCTGGTTGCGTCCCAGAAGAGCGCACAGCTTCTGTTTCCCGGCTATGGAGTGCGCTTCATCGATTCGCCCAGTTTCAAGCCGCTCCACTTTCTGCACACCTCCGCGTTGCTGGTGCGCGATATTGGCTTCAGCGAGAGCCAGCATCTCTTGACCGTGGCTAGTCGGGAGACGCGCATTAAGACGTTCGACATTCGCACCCGGCAGTGCAGCAGCGTGTTCACGGCCAACGACAAGCCGCTGTGGTCCTGCGGCGTGGACCGCAACGAGCGTGAGCACTTTCTATATGCGGGCGACCTGCGCGGTGGGGTCTATGTGTTCGACATGCGCTTCCCGGAGACGATTCTCAGCGAGTTTCCATCTGAGGGTGAGTGTGTGCCCGCTTAACGAATCGAATGGCATTAAAGCTTACGCATCTTTGCAGAAAACTTTAGTCCTGTGATAAACATAGCTGCCGTGCCCACGGGCAAGGTGTTCAGCAATGGCGGCTTTCTAGTCTGCCAGCTGACCATAGTGAAATTCTATGAGTATGCCAATGATACGGCCCTGCCCACGCGCCTCAACGTGGACGGTCCCTTCCTATCCATGCACTATGATGTGCTGCAGGACACGGTGCTCTTCTCGGCACGCTCCAATGCCCAGTATCCGCAGTCGCGTTTCATACTCGCCAAGCTGGACAAAATCGATGGCACTCCAGTGCTCCAGATTAAAGCCACAATATTTGGCTCAACTGCCACGCCCTATATGACAAGACCCACACAGATGGGCGTGGAAGATAATACGCTGGTCGTTGGCTACTTGCAGGATAACAAGCAGCTGATGATGTACGATGTGCGGCGCGAGGAACGCGTCCAAACGATGCCCGTCAACGAGGTGGTCTACGACATCTGTCCGGTGGGCACGCCGGCTGGCTCCTACCTGGCCGCGCTGACGGACAACAAGTGTCGCATCTACAAGGTCAACAGCAGCAGAAACTGATCTTCCAAATTTGTTGTTGACTGTGCAAAGACTGTGACAATGCGACTGCGTACTGCGTACCGCTAATTAGTTAGTAACTAATTGCTAGTTAAAACAGTTAAGAGTTATGTTTCATTGTGGCTTTTTATTTAATCATTCACATGCTTGCTTCTCACACACACAGACAAACTTGAAATATAAATGTATCCTTCTTTATTATTTGATTTCTATCACTTTACACACATATCTTGACCATAATGTTAAATTCTATATGTTTGAAGAGCATTGTTTTTTGATTCCAGTGTTTCAATTTTGTGTTTTAAAGTTTCTTTCTTTTATTTAATGTGCGGTCTCTAATTTCCGGCAAATTACATGTACGATTAACTACATATATAAATCATTTTGATATTTGAGTATATTTTGAAAAACAAAATGATTACAATAAAAAACATTAGTGGAAATATTCAGCGTTTTATCAAAAACACAATATATAAACATTCTATAAGTTAATAAGTTGTTGAATGTTTGATTAATATACATTTAAAGCTATAGAAAATGTTTTGTTGCATATTTGTATTGGGCTGGCATGGATTCCAAATGAATTTCAAACTAAATCAATTCAACTCTATATAGTACATAATGTCTATGTAAATTGTAGCCCCACGGGACAGTCTCAAATGTTAAACACACATATATTTCTTTTATTTTGTTTGTTTTTTATTTTTTTATGCATTCTCCTGCTCTGGCCTTACTAAATCTAAATTGTTTGATTTTTTATTTTTGTAATATCGAGTCTTGTCTATAGAGCCCCAGTTCTATGTAAAATTGTATCAAAAAAGATCGTTGGTCAAAGGTTTTTTTGTTTTTTTTTTAAACGCTCCAGCTATATATGGTATATATATATAATTAGTATATAGATTTTGTGAAAACGTGTGTGTGTGTTTGTTGGATAGTTGAAAGACGCCAAATTTGGTCTATACTTTTCAAGTATATGTTCAAATATATTTTGTTGTGTTTTATTCGTGTGTGTGTTTGAGTGTGTTTTTAAGATTAAAGAATACATTATCATAGATATATGTACGTATGTTTATGTTTATGTTTATGTTTAGTAGAGACATACTTAGATGCATTTGCTGCTGTGGAGTTAGGCTTTATATTAAAAGAACTTACAACTTAAATAATTGTCGAGAACTAAATGTACATTCGTATATAAACACTAGATTCACTTAGGCTAAACTAAACTCATAATCAAATCGGAAAAGTAGACAGTCTATGGAGCGCAATAAGCTCTATAGAGAAGAGGAGACAGAAGGGGGAGGGGGGATAGCAAGGATAAACGAACTTTTAAAGGACAGTTAATAAACCGCCGAACATTGTCATAGTATGGGGAGAGTAGGAGTAGGAAAGGAGCTGGGTTGGTTGAAGGGTTCCGGGTTCTTAATCGACGCGCGCATAGCGCGGCACAATATCCTTGCTGATCCAGTAGTTGCAGTGCTCGTGATCCTCCTGTGCCTGCGCATCCTGGCCCACAATGATGACGCGGCGACGCGTGTCAAAGGACTGCACCGTGCCGTGGGAGACATAGTAGTAGAAGAGCTGCTGCATCGCCGAGACGAAGCGTCGCTGCTCCACGGTGTGCGGCTCGTAGCGGCCCAGTATGGCCTGCACGTCGGCATCCACGGTGGCCAGCTGATCGTCGCCCTCGCCCTGGGTGACCACATAGAAGGGCACGGTCGGCTGGAGGCGGGCATTCGTTAGCAGCGGGCAGACGGTGCGTATGTCCGTGATGATGGCCACAAGGGCGGCATAGCTGGTGGCATTGTAGCGCTGGATGATCTCATCGGTTAGCCCGAGCGCGCCCAGCTGTGAGTTTTGCAGATATGAGCGCACCTCCTCGGCGGTCCAGTTGGCGTGCAGTTCGCGCAGCTTCAGTGTGTGCGCCTCGTGGGCGGTGGCGCCCATGACAAGGCGTGGCTGATGCAGCTGGCTGGCCGTGGGCACCTGCTTCCAGGACTCGGACGGATGCTGATACAGTATGTCGCCATCCAGCACCAGCCACTCGTGACGATTGGCATTGCTCAGCTCCTCGGCCTGGGGTACCGTGGCGGGGAATTGGAACCAGGTATCAGGCGTGGCGGCCCACAACTTCTCGCTGGACGCCGCACGCAAGCACTCCGCATCCTGGCAGTCAAGCGTGACCATGAGCTGTTGATTCAAACGCTCCGACTCCTGCAGCGGTTTGCCCGGATAAATGGCCGACGCAGACGAGGCCCAGGCGCGCGTATACAGGCCCTCCAGCTTGGCGGAGCTGACCAGCGCCGAGACAAGCGTGGCGCCGGCACGATGACCCAGCAGTGTGACGGACTTGGGATCGCCGCCAAAGTGCACAATGTTCAGCTGAATCCACTTGAGCACGGCAATAATGTCGCTGAGCGCATAGTTGCCCGAGGTGCGCGGATGCGACTCCTTGGTGAGTGCGTCCAGTGCCAGGAAACCAAAGACGCCCAGCCTGAAGTTGGGACGCACAAAGATGACATCATGGGAACGCGAATAACGCGCCGACGGACGCAGAATGCTTGGCGAGGGACCGGCCAGGGATTCGGCACCAATGAGCACCACCACGGGCAGCAGATTCGTATAGCGCACATGTGGAGTAATCACATCCAAGTAGAGGCAATCCTCGTCGCCAATTGTGGTGCCATTGCCCAGGCGTTGCGTGCACACCGCACTGCCATTGTGCGTCTGCAGTGTACCGTTCCAGCAGTCGTCGATCTTGGAGATCAGCTGCGCCGGACGCCAGCGCAGATTGTCCAGCGGCGGCTTGGCATAGGGTATGCCACGGAAGGCGAATGCCCCGTCCTCTTTGACGCCTTCGACCATGCCGCAGCTGGTCACGGCCGAAATGTAGCGGCCCTCGCGCAACGGCGGCGAGGTCAGCGTCTCGTGGGTGAGCACATAGCCGATCACGGCGAGAAGCAGCATGAACAGCAGTATGCCGAACACGATGAGCGCATCGTCCACGCTGCACTTGTAGCCGCGCAGACGGCACCACACCGAGACGGGACGTTCGCGTTCCTCCTCCTCGGCGGCGAGTTTCTGCTCGGCGGCCAGCTTCTCGGACTTGAGCTCGCTCTTCAGCTCGTCGGCGCCGTTGCTCTTGAGCGGCGCACGATCGACGGTGTCCTGATCCTTAAGCGAATCATCGAGTGTCTCCATCGAGGCCAGGCCGGCCTTGCCCAGGCCCATTTCCACATCATCGCCGCCCCGCTTCTTGGGCATAATGTTGGCAATGGGCAGCTTGATGGCATTGAGCAAGCCACGTTTTGGCGGCGGATCTGCGTCCTCGCCGGGCGCCGCCTCAGCTGTGGCTTCTATACATAGAGGTAAAGAATGGATGTTAGCTACCGAGTCTCTTTGCAGTGCTGTGTCAACAACTTACCCGACTTGGCATCTGCATCGCCGTTGGTCAGCGGCTTCTTTTGCTGATCCTTGTCTGCCGCGGGCTTGCGCGCGAAGAGGCTGCGCAGACGCTGGCCGAGACCGGCGCGTGGCTTCTGCTCCTCCTTGCTGGCATCGCCGTTGGCCTCTTTTTCCTCCGCCAGCTCCTTGTCCTTTTCGAGCAGCTCGCCCTCGGCACCGTCGCCCTCCGCCTTGGGCTTGTTCTTCATGAAGTAGCCGGGCAGCTTCAGTCCGCCGATGGGTATCTTCTTGGGCTTCACCTCGCGCTCCTCCTTGCTGACCTTCTTCTCGTCGGCAGCACCGTTCGGCTTGTTGCCATTCTCCGTCGGTATGTCAATGATCTCCTCGCCATTGCCGCCGGCTGGTTTCTCGATGGGATCTGCCTGCGGCAACGTCGGCGACTTCTTGCCCCCGTTCGGCGAGGCTGGCTTCGAGGTCTGTGGACTGGCTGTTTTCTCTTTCGATTCGTCCTTCTTGCCGTCCAGCATCTTGTCCGTCTCCTTGGGCTCCTCCGCTGTCGCTTCAGTCTGTGGGGTGTCCTTCTCCACGATCTCGCCCATCGTGAAGTGTTTGCTGTCTGTTGAGTCGCTGCGTCTAACTTTAGAGAACTCTATGTGAATTCTGGAAATTTAAGATCAGCAGAAAACTGGCGTTAGTTACTGTGACAGCTGATGGAAATCCTCTCCAGCTGCTAACCTGGACTAAGTGGGTTAACTAGGTTAAACTTTGGCTACAGTTGTTGCGTGTACTTCTATCTAGTTGCTAGGCAGCTAAGGATCTAGGATCTATCACGATCGCGTGCTGTTTTGCTTCTAGCTGCCGCTGCGTCCGGCGCTTGACTTTTATACGACGGCCAAGGGAAATCCGGACGCAGCTGAGCTGCCAAATGAGCCCAGGCCAAATGTCAATGCTGCCGGCTGCGCAAGTCCTTTGTCTTGCGTCGTCTACCTGGACTACCCAAAGGACTACCTGGAAAAGCATCTCAGGTAAGCGTGGAAATTCGCTTGCATGTCCTGGCTGCCGCATGGCATTTTCGGGGCGGGAAGACCGCAAATTTATTAAGCAGCCAGCTGCGCACATTACACTCAGCCAGACAGGCAGCCAGGCAGCTCCCTCCCCGGGCCCTAAACTATAGATACGTGCGCTTTGACGCATTTCACACATTTCCATAAGAAAAACGCAGTCGTCTTTTAATTAGCGGAAAACTTCGAGCGCAACGTTTGCCGAGCCAGGACATGTCCCGAAACTGGGCCTCGAATCATTAAGGTTGACGCCGCCGGCTACGAAAATTCCAGCAATTATTGCGACAGTAGCACGTCCCGGCTTTGAATTTGGCTAATTGACCGCAGTCCAGGCGACAGAAGTCATGAGAAAGTCCTTGCAAAAAACGTGCAGTTAAAGAAGTTGAATTTTTAAGTGAATGTCGTAATGGAGAATTCTGTGAACTGCTTAAAAAGGGATTAGCTGTGGGATAAGGCGTCTTTGTGAGAATATAATTACGAAATTTTTGATTTAATTTATATTCATTTCTTTTGCTTAGACTTTTCTACATAGAACTAGCCTGGCATACGATCTGCAAACCTTGATCAGAGACTTTTACTAAAGTTAAAATAACAAAAAGAAGTTTTGTCGGTTCTGTTTCTGCCCTCTGCAAACAAGTTCTATATAGTTCTTCCCGCCGATCTTTTACTTTATAAATTTAATTTTATTTATATTATTTTTTTCATTTCTACATACGACTAGCCTGGCATAAAACCTGA